AGTTCTGGTATTGTCATTTTGTGGTGCAGCTTGGCTTATTCTGTCTATAGTTGGGTTTAGATTTGTATTAAAATCTCGTACCAGAATATTGATAGTATTTTCTTTGTATTGTGGAGACTATTTGTCAAAGAAAGCTGTTCTGTCTTTTATGTTTGAAGGGGCATATAGGTTTGTAACTAAGAAAGATCAACCTCTGTATGTGAAACTTGTAAGGATCACTCTTCCTTCGTGTAAAATTTCAATGTTCTGAAATTTTATTTCTTTTCTTCCTGCCAAAATAGCGGTTTTGTTTGTCCAAATTGATTCATAAATCTATTGCTTCTTAATGAAGGTTTGTGTTGCCTGGTTGTTTAGATTTGTTTCTTGTAATAGTATTAGATCTAAATTATAAGATTTTAAAAGTGTTATTGTTTTTTGTTTTTTGTTCTAATCATTAAGTCTCTTTACATTTAGGGTAGCAATTTTAATTAAGGATGTGACAAAAATCAGATGATTTTTTAGGGGAGGAGGGGTGTAAAAAATTTAAAATTATATATAAAGATCTGATCAAGATATATAGTAAGAAGGAAGGGGAATAAGCCTCTAATAAAAAAAAATCAGGTGATAAATAACACTGCCTTTATTGCTTTAGTCATTAGATATTATAAGAGCTTTTGGAGAATTCTTCTCTGTTCATCCTTTCTTGTATGGAGCTTGTCTTACTGTTGCTTGTTTACGTATATTTTGATTTGTTTGTTTTTTTTTTCCTCTTGTAGGATATAGTTGTAAAGTCTTTTTCTATTGGAATTGCTGACGATGTATTCTCTTGAGGAGGGTTGTTCTTTTTGTTATTATTTTTAATAGATGGGCCATCTAATGCAAGCTCATCTCTTGTTGTAAGTTCTGCTTCTGAGAAAGTGATTGCTTGTTCAGCTTCTTTTTGAGTGTCTTCCATTTTGTTATCTGTGCTATGAGAGATATCCTTTATCTCTTGCTTGTCAGGTGTTTTTATACTTATTGCTTCTTCTTTCGATTTCTCTTTTTCTTTAGTTTTTGGGAGACTCTCTACTTCTTGAGCTGTTTTGCTAAGGTAGTCACTGTTTTTTGTTTTGGAAGTTTCCTTGAACTCTCGATAGTATTGTCTTAATGCAACCGACTCTTTGAATTGGAAGCATTCTTTTTTTATATGCCCTTCCTGGTCACAGAAGTAGCAGACTTTAGGAGCTGCCTTCTATTCAGTTGTGGTTTTGTTATCTCTAAGATGTGTGAAGCAAGGAATTCACTTTTATAAATTCCCATCTTCTGTTGTATCAAAAATGATGATCCATTGATCAGTTAAATATGGTGTTTCCTCAATTACCAGTGGTTTGATTGAGGCTATTTTGCCAAAATCTTGAAATGCATCTTTGATTAGCATTGTTATTTCTTCTTTTCCTCCTAATAGAACATTTCTGAGCTTTACTGGAAGAAAAGACTTTCGTGAGTTTGTTGGAATATAACCAAAGTATGATTTGTTGAAGATGTTAATACTCTTGGCTGCATGATGACAAAGAGTATTCTTGTTGGAGAAGATAATTTCCAAGTGTGTGTGGTTACCCTTTTTGAAGTGTTGCTTTGCTACTATAACATCTTGTTTGATGTTTTTATAAAGTGAAATTATTATTTCATTGAAAGAGCTCTGAATATCTTGTATTTCGATGATTAATGCATTCTTATTCTTGGTTCTTATTTGTTCTCTAGGAGAGAAGGCTGCATAAGTCAATTGGTCTCTTTTTAATTTTGCAAATAAGCTTGACTACTTTTTGTTAGTTGTATCTCTTGGTTGACTAGTATCTGCTTTAGCTTTTCCTTTTGAAGTTGAGCTTCCAATATATAGGTTATTTTTTGAAAATTCTGTGGTTTCTGATGTGTTTTGTTTTATTGGTTGTTCTTGATTTTGAATCATATGATCTTGCACGTGTTCTGTAATGTGACTTGTTTTGTTGTTTTGTTGTTGTTCTTTATTTTTATGTATTGATGTGTTTGTAGAGGTCGAGCTTTGGCTCTCTTCTTCTAGCGATGCTAGTTCCTCCCAGCTAGTATTTTTTGTAGTTGTTTTGATTGCTTGTGTTGAAGTAGCTACATTTGCAGTGGTTTCTTCTTCTTGTTGTTGTTTTAACATACTGTTTAATTCTCTTTGTTCGTTGAGGAGAAAGTTTTGTATTTTTAGTTTTTTTGTTGCAGGTTTCTTGTATTCCAAGAGGAATATATCTTCTTTTCCTTGGTACAAGGGCTAATGCCCTTGTTGAGCCTTGTTTTAGATTGTTTTTAAACTTGTATTGAGTAGTTATCATGTTTTTTTGTTTATACTCTTTCCCTTACAAATTTGTACAGAAGAGAGTTTGTATCGATCCTTTCATATACAGGATTTAAAAAAGAAGGCATTGACAAAAATTTTATTATATAAATTAATATTTTAAATATCAAATTATCTAGAAGAGTACCTACTTTATATGACCAAGCCGTGTTTTAGTTTTATGCACCCCATATAACCAATTTAAAGGTCTTTTAGAAAACTTAACAAAAGACTTTTTCTTACCTATTACTAAATACTTAGGAAGGTCAAAGAATAGCAACTCATAACAAGCTATAGTTATCTGTGTGTGAATATATGCACTTGCTTTGGCAACTCAGATCACCTACTAGTGAAAAGTGAAATTAACCTCAAGCCCAAATATCCAAAGAAATCCTTCTGAAGATTTGACAGAAAACTCTAGAATTTATCTGAATTCAAAACAGATATTACTACAGAGCTTCAAAATATTCAAAACACTAAAGATTGGGATTGGCACAAGTGTGTAATCTAATCTATAGCAAAAGCTATTAAAGCAAAACCAGCTACTGAAAAAAATATTCAAAAGCTTTATAAAAGACTTAATAGCTTTTTTTTTTTTTTTTTTTTATACCGATGATATGACCATCTTCGAGCGCGTGTGGTGCTCTTTTATTTATAAATTATTTGCATTTATACATATTGTAAATATTTACAAATAGATTTTATCTGTGAATTGCTATTTAAATTTGAAGTTATTATTTTTATCTCCTTGGAGATGCGGTTCCTAATATGGGTGTCTCGTATTAAAAAGGCCCATTTTGCAATTTTTTCGAAAAATGTGTTTTTATTAGATTCATGTAGATTTTGATATGATAGACATTTTTTAATTATGAATGAAGGTCGATTTGCATAATAAAAAATGGAGATATGTAAAAGAAAAATTACACGATGCCAAGCACATTACGAGATTACCCAATAATCACCTGCTACTTTTAACTAATCAAAATCGTGAAATTTGCTTAATCCTGGATCAGTCCGAAAATCAAAACAAATGTTTAAACTCAATTATCTTAAAATAAATTATATGTCAAAATGGGCCTTTTTAATACAAGACACCCATATATGTAGATATTACTGTTTCTGGTATCATTGAGTTCCCCCATTTATGTGATGTATACCAACACCAGATTTCATAGATTGCATTCGTATGAAGCCATAGAGCTGCTTTATGGTACTTTGAATCTTTAATGTTATTTGCTGTGAAAATCTCTTCAATTGAGGATAGGATTGATATCTCATTAATATTTAGAAACTTGTAAGCTTCATTCCAAATTCTTTTACTTATAATGCACTCAAGTGTGAAGTGTTCTATTGTTTGCAGTTCGTCTGGACACCATAGGCATTTTTCTGACTCTGTTATGGATACATGTTGTAACCGATATCCTAAAAGGAGGGCTTTATGGTACATATGCCATAATATATCTTTTTTCTTGTTGTTGGTTGCTTTTGTAAAAAGCCAATACATTTTGATATCAGTTGAAAGTATAGTGTTTGTTGGAGCAACTGTTCTTTTTTTTAAGATTCCCATTAAGTTTTTTACTGTGAAGTCTGTATTTTGTTTCTTGTCAACTTTAAGGTCTTCTATTTTCCAAAGCCATTTGTGGTTTGCTGTGATTTTCCCCTGAATTTTTTTCCATGCTGCCAGATATGGTTTCCATTCTGTTGGCCATGCTTTAGATTTGATTAGGATTGATGTTAGAGATTGTAATACTGTAATATCTCTTTTTTGTCTCAAAAAGCAGAGATCCTGTTTCGTTCAATTTTTGCCTACAGGCAGTCACCAGTTGTTAGTCTTGTCCATACAGTTAGCATTCTTGCATCGAGCATGTTGCTGACTATTGGGGCTTGAAGACCTCCATGTTCATAGGGTAG